GGGCCGACTCGATGGCAAATAACAACAACAACAGCCACTCCTCAGAAGGAAGGTTGGGCGATCTACTTCCTTAGTGATACCGCCTCAGAAAACCAAGGGGGGTGGGTCTCTGTGAGTCGAATCTGACTCAACAGCAGCGAGTTCGGTGTATTATTTATTTATTTATTTTAAATGAATTTCCTATATGCTAATCTCCATCTCAGAGTTTATTTTCCAAGGAACTCAGCATGCAACGAGCTCTCTAAGGTTACCTATGTCCAATACTGATAAAAGGCATTTAGACAGATAAGAAATGCAGTTACGACACTTCCTCTATGTCTGTTAAATAACACTGGTGATTTTTGGAGCAGTGGAGAAGAATTTCTATTCCCTTGAGCTTCTCCTCAGGGATAATAATAAGAGCTTCCTCTGTCAGGGCTGTTCTGTGCCAGGCACCAGGCAAAACACTTTATAGGCATCATCTCATTAATCTTAATCGTGATCCTGCTGAGTTGTTTCTACTGTCTTCATTTTATGCTTGTGGCCACTGTTAGTGGATACAAATGTCAGTAAATCTAGTTAGTGAATGGCAGAATGGGACTGGCTCCCACTGAGTGTATCTGCTTCATACGCTATCCCTGACTCCTTGTGGTGTTGCAGGTAGGCAAGGCAGGATTAGAGAGACTTGAGGGCACTATGCAGGGCAGTTATTGACACTCCGTGCCTGCATATCTCACTCATGCCATGAAAGTACTCCTGAAAAACAGTAATAAACATATCCATTTGGAAAGCACTATTTTGAATGTGGAAAAGATGATTTAAGAAAGTTTTATTTCAAATATGATGATTATAAATAGCTGCCATTTGTTGAATGTCTGCTACTTATAAGTCAGAGAGCTATGCAAAAGTCCGACATGTATGACATGATGAATCCTTTTAACAGTTTCTCAACATTGGCATTATTATCCTAGGAGGAAGGAGGCTCAGAAGGTTGAATGAACTTGCCCAAACCAGGGTGACCTGCTATCTCAATTCTCCCAGTAGTGAGAGGGTTTCCGGAACATGGGTTTTCAGTGCTAAAATCAGGAAAATTCCATGCAAACCTGGACAAGTTTCTCACCCCAGGTGGACCTAAAACAGTTAAAATAAATAAACCAAAACATGAACCAAACCAAACAACAATAAAAACTTTTCATAAAGTGACTAATTATTAATTCCCAAGTGGTTCTTTCTCTAACTGTTGAACTTGATGTTTAATAGATGAATAAGCTTAAGGGCTCTTAATAGTTTAAATGTGAAAAATACATAATGCAAGGTAAAATTAAAAGTACTGTTTGTGTCAACCCTAACAATTTTCCATGATTAAGACATTATCTTAGTAAAATGTCAGGGTCCCAGAAATAATATGCTACTATCAAGCTCTCTGTGCCTTTTCTTTGATCAGTACAATGGAAACCAAAAGTAACTTACCTCATCTGAAATTTGACCTCCAAAAGTCACCCATGTTCCTAGAAAATAATAAATATTTGCACATTATTTATAATCACTTTCTAAAATTGTGCATAATGAGAGGAAACTTTTTTCTTACACCAGGCCTACTTTAATAGGTTGCACAGGTAGTTCACTGCACAAAGGTGCCTGCACAGGGACCAAATGGGGGCTGAAGTTCAGCTCATTCACCTCTTACTGAATATTCCAGAATGGGTCAGTATCCCTCTAGATGAAGAGGGATTCTTTTCTTCATTCCAAACCAACATACATGCTGACAGCCCTGTCCTAAGAAATGCTTTTTCTTCTGAAATAGTAACATGAATGCTGGTGTGCAAGAAGGTAATAAGGTAGTGTTACCAAGCCCACAAAAAGTCCTAGTGGTGCAGTGCTTAAGTGTCAGCTGCTAACTGAAAGACTGGTGGTTTACACCTACCAGATGTTCTGAGAGTATGTGGCAGCATGTGACCTTGAAAACCCTATGAAACCCTTAGAAACCTACTTTGCCCCATAAGGTCCCTATAAGTCAGAACTGACTCAATGACAATAGGCAATGGGACCAAGCTCACATCACTGCACATCTATCCTTCCTTCACTTAGCTAAGAAGCCACTAGTTCTGAAAGTGAAAATAAGACCTTGAGTAATGATTCTCCCCTCTTTTGCCACCAAAAAAAGGGCTCTGTTTTGTATTCCCCATTACTTTTGAAAAGGAGGCTTGTCCTCACTTTCAAGATCTAGGAGGTAACCCTTAAGACCTGCTACTCCAAAATGGAAATCTCCATTTGTTTTGAGGTAGGGGTGGAGACAGTAGCTGGAGTGAAGATTGAGAAGGCAAGTAGAGAAAAGCAAAGTCAATAGTCAAAAATTTTCATTTGTAAAGCAAGAGAGAAGTAGACATTGAGTGGATTCCTGCCACTCTAGTGTCCATATACCTTATTAATTTCTTCCTTATCAATTTTTTAAGCCTGATTACATGCTTATTCAAGGCACTTGACTGCTAACCAGAAGGCTGGCGGTTCAAACCTGTGACAGTTGGAGCTGTGTGTCAACTTGACTGGACCCCAGTTCTGTGTGGTTGTTCCCATGATGGGATCAGATGACTGTGTTCTGAGTGGCCAGTCTGCCTAAGGGGAGTTTCCCTAGGGGTGTGGCCTGCTTCCAAGATATCCAGGGACATCCTGGAAAGAGCCACATTCTTTGAGGGATTGGAATCCTGGTGTGCGGACTACAAACTTCCGTGAGGGAGCAGCCCATCGCTTGGCCTGGAGATCTTGGATTCGCCTTTTGTTGGAGCCAACAACTAGTGCACTGCCTGCCAGCTTAGAATGTCTCGGCCCCCTGCGCTTACGGAAGCTAAGGCTGTTGCCAGCCAATTTCCTCCAGAGACTTGGACTTGTCGGCTTCTATATGCTTGTGAGCTATTTTCCTAAGATAAATTTCTCTCTCTCTCTCTCTCTCTATAAATATATGTATATATACTTGCTGGTTTTTGTGTTTCTCTAGAGAACCCAATCTAACACAAAACCCATCAGCCACTCCTCGGAAGGAAGAATGGGCAATCTGCTTCAGTAGAGACATAGCCTCGAAAGCCCAAGGAGGCGTTGCTATGAGTCGGAAATGACTGAACGGCACATGACAACAACAACAGGGATAGTGAGGTGACTGACCCAGTTCCTTTCTCCCAGGAGCTGACAGTTTACAATACTACTTGATAAATGCTATGACTGTGGCAAACAAGGCAGTAAGGAAGGGTATGTCCATACTAGATTGGAGAGGGGTGGCACTCAAGGAAGGCTTCCTAGGAGAGCTGACATCTTCATTGAGTCTTAAAAGACTTAACAGAATGAAGAAAGAAGGAACAGGTACTCCAGGTCTGGGTAGGAGTATGGGCAAGGCAAAGAGGGTGATGAAGTGGAGTGAGGGGCCGTAGGCCGGCAAAGAAACACGAGTGCACAGGGCAGAGATGGGCAGGAGTGAGACCATCCAGGGCCTGGCATAATTGATGTTTGTGGAAAACACAAAGCAATGTTGTTGGAAACTTATTTTGCAGTTAATAGTAAGAATCTTAACTACCATTTATGAAACACATTTAAAATGCCAAACAGTATGCTAAGAAATCTGCATATTTTCATCTCTAATCATTGTAAACAACTTACAAGGTAACTTTATTATCCCTCTTTTGGGATGAGGAAACTAACGCCACCCAAACTCCTACCTTCAAGAAGGATGTTGTTATGGATTGAACTGTGTCCCCCCAAAATATGTGTTGTAAATCATAACCCTCCTTACCACTGTTTATAATCCCATTTGGGAATGAATATTCTTTGTTATGTTAATGAGGCAGTATTAGTGTAGGTTGCAACTTAAGTCAATCTCTTTTGAGATATAAAAAAGATTAAACAAACAAATAAACAAAAAATTGAACAAACAAGGAAGCAAGTAGAGATGGGGGAAGAGAGATGCCAGGCCACATGAAGATCATCACCCAGGAGCAGAAGCTCAAAAGACACAAAGACCCTCCTCCAGAGCTGACAGAAGGAAAAAGCCTTCCTCTAGAGCTGACACCCTGAATTTGGACTTCTAGCCTCTTAAACTGTGAGAAAATAAATTTCTGTTTGTTAAAGCCACTCATCTGTGGTGTTTATGCTAATGGAAACACTAGATAACTAAGACAGCTGTCCTTTCCACTGTGCCATGCTGCCTCATCAAAATGTTTCCAAATTAATTACTATACTTGCATTTCAAACTCGACAGAAGTATGTTGATATGATTGTACTTTTTCCCTTAATTCTCAGGAATTAAAGCAAAGTTATCTATATACTAGTTACTGTCAAGTTGACTCCTGGCAACCCCATGCGTATCAGAGTAGAACTGTACACCACAGAATTTTCAATGGCTGATTTTTTTGGAAGTAGATTTCTTCTGAGGCTCCTCTGCATGGATTCATATCTCCAACCTTTTGGTTAGCAGCCAAGTGTGTTAGCCATTTATACCACCTAGAGAATCCCAAAACAAAGATAAGGTATGAATTATTTTACTGTTCCATTTGCCATCTGAAAAAGTTGTAAATAGGCACCCCACATATTGCACTCAGCTTGCAGTCTAGCTTTGCTTGGCTGAAATGGAATTGACCCACTTGGTATTTTAATACATTTTGAATAAGTTGTTGTTGTTAAGTGCC